AGCTCAAGGCTTCCTGGAGCTGGGAATGAGCAGCTCAAGGCTTCCTGGAGCTGGGAATGAGCAGCTCAAGGCTTCCTGGAGCTGGGAATGAGCAGCTCAAGGCTTCCTGGAGCTGGGAATGAGCAGGTCAAAGCTTCCTGGAGCTGGGAATGAAGTGATGGAGCAGCTCAAGGCTTCCCAAGCCAACAGCTGATGTTCCTGCCCCTTCCAGCATGGGAAGCTGGAGTGTTTTGCCTTCCAGAGGAGCCTTCCTGGTGTGTTTTCCCAGCTAATCCATGGTTTGGAAGGTGTTCTCTGCCCTTCCCGAGTCAGCAGGGACCTGGGTTGCCCCCCTGGGTGGCTCGCTGTCCCCCTGGATTCAGCCATTCCCGGTAACATTAGAAGGAATGGAAATTCTCCAGCTCCTGGGCTGCTAAATCAGGCCTGGGGCAGTGCCAGGAATGCCCTGGAGGGACAGAGCAGGATCCTGCAGGAATGGCTGTGCCCCTGGAACCCCGGGAGAACCCAGGGCCTGGGGGTGCCTGGCCCCCCAAACCTGCTCCTTGTGGGCTCCTTTTAGGGTGGGAAAGGCAGGAGCCCCCTCTGGATTGGGTGGGATCAGTGGGAGATGAGGAGCCAGGCCCCTGGATAGGGTTTGCTTCTATTTCTGGCGGGTTATGAGACACCAGACCTTTCCAAACCACGGCATTCCAGCTCCTCTCTCCTCCCATCCCTTCCCTCTGGCTGCTGGGAGCCCTTTCCCCATTGCACCCCATTTTTACCTTCAGCATTCCTGCTGGTGGGATTCCCAGTGGGATTAACCAGCTTCCTTTGGGAGGGGGAAGCCAAGAGCATGTGAAAACTTGGATCCTCGTGTCCCAAAGCGGTGCCACCCAGCTGGAATCTCCTTCCCAGGTGCTCTCCCATCCCGGGTACAGTGAGGGCCCTGGAATGTGTACAGTATCCTGATGTCATATCCCAATTTAACAGGGGCTTAACTGTGCCTGGCACGGCCCTGGAGTGGGGAGGAATGGGAATGGTGCCAGGGGGGCAGGAATGTGCTGAGGGATCCAAAGGTTCCCCTCAACTCCACTCACCCCCAGGGCCCTTTGCTTCCTGGAAGGAGGTGCTGCTCCCATGGATCCCGGGGGTTTTCCATCCAGGAACAAAAGCGAGGCTGTGGAAGAGTTAAATCCGTTGGTGGCAAAGTCTGGGAGCCTGGAAGGGTTTTTATGGATTTTCAGATGAATGACTTCCCTGTCAGAGCTGCTTGGGAATGGGGGAGTGAAGGTTTGCAGGGAGAAGGTTTGAGGAGAGCTGGAAAAGCGACGGGATCGGTGTCTCCGAGGGCTGAGTTTGGCTGTTTGTGCATGTTTTTGGGGAATTTAGGGATGGTTTGGGGTGTTTCTGGCTGGTTGGGTCCAGGATCAATCCAGGTTTGGTGCCCAGAGAAGCTCTGGATGCTCCATCCCTGGAAGTGCTCAAGGTGAGGTTGGCCAGAGCTCGGAGCAGCCTGGGATAGCAGAAGGTGCCCCTGGCAGGGGTGGGATTGGATGGGATTTAAGGGCCCTTCCCACCCAAACCATTCCAGGATTTAAAGGGTCTAAGTGTCATCTCCAGGTGTCTCAGAATTCCAGGTAAACCCTGAGCTCCCAGGCTGAGTGTTGGGATGTTGCTCGTGGGAAACACCTCCTGGGC